AAGCTCTTTTATGAGAAGATCTAGAGATCTCCTATGAGACGATCTAGAGATCTTCTATGAAAAGATCTAGAGATCTTCTATGAAAAGATCTAGAGATCTTCTGTGAGAAGATCTAGAGATCTTCTATGAGAATATCTAGAGATCTTCTATGAGAATATCTAGAGATCTTCTATGAGAATATCTAGAGATCTTCTATGAGAAGATCTAGAGATCTTCTATGAGAAGATCTAGAGATCTTCTATGAGAAGATCTAGAGATCTTCTATGAGAAGATCTAGAGATCTTCTATGAGAAGATCTAGAGATCTTCTATGAGAAGATCTAGAGATCTTCTATGAGAAGATCTAGAGATCTTCTATGAGAAGATCTAGAGATCTTCTATGAGAAGATCTAGAGATCTTCTATGAGAAGATCTAGAGATCTTCTATGAGAAGATCTAGAGATCTTCTATGAGAAGATCTTATAGATCTTCTAGGAGAAGATCTAGAGATCTTGTATGAGAAGATCTAGAGATCTTGTATGAGAAGATCTAGAGATCTTCTATGAGAAGATCTAAAGCTCTTTTATGAGAAGATCTACATTTTTCGATAAGGATCTTTTCTGAGAAGATTTATAGATCTTCTATGAGAAAATCTAAGTTATTCTATGAACAATTATACAGAACTTTTAGTAGATTTTCGTCAGATTTTCTATGAAAAGATCTATCAATCATCTATTAATTTACCCACATTTTTTCTATGAGAATGTCTTTAGAATATACATAGTTCTCCTACGAAAATATCCGCAAATCAAGGTAAGCCCTTTGAAATATATCTACCTAAAATCGTTGGTAGCTTTATATTGGACTACACTAAATGATAAATCGATCGTAAAAATATCCATCAACATGGTACGGAACTAGAAAAAAATAAGGGCGCCGTTAGTCTTCTGCTTCCATCTTTTTTTGAAAACCAATGCATGGTCGGAATTTCACAATATTGCACAAAATCATGAAACCAATACATCTTAAAAAAAATAGATTCAAGTTTCCCCAAATCTATGACATTAATATAAATAAAATGTTCCACATAACAACTCTATTGAAGCGGTTTATTGACATAAATTATTTTACCATCTGAAGTTGTTTATTTTCTTTTTTTTTTTTACTTTTCTGATAGGGACTTTGTACTCAGAGAGTGACAATGGCATTCGATATATCTTTAAAATTTGTTTGTATGGATGTATATTTCATTGTCAAGGGAAAAATTTTACAGCTCATATATGTAAACGGAAGGAATAGGGGATTGGAAGGACCATATTTTTGGATTTCCTTTATTGTTTAACATTTCATGATAGCCGAAATCTTTTTTATGGAATTTTCCATTTCTTATAGGAAAATTCCACAGCTCTTAAGGAAATTTTTTGATAGAAGAAGCTTCCTCTCTCTTATCAAGAATCCCAAACATTTGATGACGACAAATGTTATTGTTATGGATTTGATTTTAATTTCTTTTGCTGATGCAAATGAGATAACATAATTTAACACACCCTAAAAAATAGTTGCCTTATGAAATGGATGTATTATGTGTATATAATACTTATTTGCCAGATTAAAGAGAACTTTTTTTTGAGTCATTCATTTATTTCATTTGAGATATCCAAATTATGATGCAGTAGTATTTTAATATATCTGCTTGAAATTCGTATTATGTTAAAAATCTGTTGGAAGCCACCTGTTGCTTGGTGCCAGACAATGACATGCCCAGAAATGCATTTTCAAATCACTTTTGCTTGGTAAACATTTTTATGAAAAGTAACCATTTAGGAGTGAGAAAGAGTAAAACAATATCGCTATTTATTATATCGGACACAAAGGGCCAACGTAGGTTCCTATTTTCAGAGGAATTCTGGAGAATTTATTATCAATTTTCAAAAATGCCAACGCATGCCTTTTTCCCCGAAAGGAATACAGTTATATCTGAAGAATGGCTGGACCGATGTTGACAAAATTTTGTAAATTCAGAATGCCCTCTTTTCATAAAAGTATAAAATCTAAAGAAAATCGCATAAAAAGATGCCAATAGTGATGTTAATTTAGATTTTTTAATATTTTGTGATATTTTTTTATTTTTTCATATTTTTTATCGCTTGCGATTTTTTCAATTTGACTTATAAAATTTAAGTGTATATTTAGTAAAATGTTTTTCACCTTACAACACAGGCTGGGGTTTTTATATATATATACTGCTATTATCGTCCGATCCTCACGAAACATTTCATAAGGGTGGGGTTAGGCTCAGAAGGGCTAGCTCTATTGTTTTCAAAGAGCTCCGCAATTTATTTAGGGACTGAAAGAAAAACCAAAGGACACAAAATCTCGCGTGGAGTTAGAGTTTAGGACAGTGGGTAGAACGGACAACTACTATTTTTTTGTGAAAAAATACCAACATTTCCATTCTACCGAAACGCTGAAAATAACTTACAGACGAAATCCAAAATAAACAAAAGGCGATTTTTGGCTTTTTATGTTGAATTCGTTGACGAATATAGCCAAATATCGTAGATAAGCAAATCTATAGATGAGTCTAAACTTGGAGATAACGAGGGGCTTCAAATGAATCAAAAACAGAAAATAATTCCTGATCACACCATTCAAGCCAATCGCCACGCCTGAGAAGAGAGTTCTAGCATTTTGGATGACCATTGGATTATATTTAGCTGTAAAATGAACCATAACAACTATAAGCACGACGGTAAATATTGGGCAAATTTCAAAAGCGAAATCTCCCAAAATGGATTTGGACATAAACGGGCTTCTAACATATTGTAGTGTTGTAGGGTATCACATGGTCGGCCCCGGCCGACTATAGCCTTTGCTTACTGGTCTTTTTCTTTAAGTCGGATACCCAGTCGATTTTGAAGAAGGAACCACAAATGTAGTAAAGAAGCGTTTCACATGTTATATGTGCCATATTTTTTCGACAACATCATGAAATCATTTAACAGATGTTCTGTCAAGGCAATATTGTTCAAATCGAAAAAAGAAACGAATATTTCTAATTTTCATTTGTAAGCTCTGTATTTCCCAAATATCACGTTAACTTGTTTGTCTCTTTCGAAGACGTTTGCACCTTGAATCTATTTACAAATCAAATAAGTTAATTAGAACAAATTATAAATTAATTTGTTTGATTTGAAATATATCTAAAGAATTTCAATTGTTGAACTGTTATAAGGGGTTCTTGGCATAGCAAATAACATTTATATTAATAATGACGTTATGAAGCAGCGCTGTTTTTAAAATGAAACGAATAAATGTCACAATTAATTACGAATAAACAGTGTTGGCCAAAAAATATCGTATAATTTCTATGAAACTCAGAAATATTTTTAAAATTAAAAATAACATGTGTTAACGAATTAAAATTGGGGCTAAGACAGGAAAGCCCATCGTTTCGAATTATTAGGAGTTCCTTTCTGTGACGGGCTTCTGCTACTTCCTCTGTGACCGCGTCAGCATGACAATAAGTGATGCTTGTTAATGGCTTTCTTTTGTAGTTTTTTTTTGTATCCGTCACCCTCAAATCTGCAGACATTATCTAATTTGTCCGCCCAAAACCCTTTTGGTCGTAAAGCAGCCTAATAACACTCAGGATGGAAACTATATTCGCACACGCCAAAATGGGGGTAATTTTGCGATTTTTGCACCAAAATGAAGGGGTTACAAGGTGCGATAAAAAAAAAAAAAACTTCAAAGTCATACGCCATAATTTTTACATTTTTTTTTAATTTTGTTGAATGAAAGTAAAAAATATAGGAAATAGCATCAAATTTTAAAATAAGTTTAGATTTGTTCGAATTGGTCACATTTGGCACGAATTATAGCCTTCAAACGGCCAATGTCACACGAATGTTGCTCTCTATTTTGGTCCATTCCCGGCGAAGCGCTTGCTTGAAGTGATCGACCGGAGATTTTGGTGGCCATTGTGCGCTGGAGATTAGGCGAGGAACCTCATTTTTTAATCATTCTTGGTTGGCGCGTGTTGAGTGCTATGGTGCTGAGTCCTGTTAGAATGTCCAAGGTCTGCGGCCAAAATGTTTGCGTGCCCAAGGCTTTAATATTTTCGCGATAATATTCGGCATTTATTCCGATGCCACGGTCGATTAATACGTGCGGAGAGCGACATTCGGCTGTTATGGCGGCCCACACCATCACCATGGCCGGCGCTTGTGTTCTGGTGACCAACCGAAAGTGCACAGTTTCAGCTGACCTCTTTGGCAAGTAAACAAGATCATCATCATGGACAACCAATGTTTACTCATCGGAGAAAACCAAATTCGGCAGTTTACCACTTTCGGCCAAGCGAAGCAACTCTTTAGAGTCTATTTTCTTTCTGTTGCGATGTAAGTTCTTGCACTTTTTGGAATTTCAATGGCTTTACCCCGAGCTCATTTTTCAATATTTGCCAAATGGAATATTGCGATATGTTCAGCTCACGAGCCATATTTCGGCCACTGCGACGCGGGTTTCGATTAAGTCGCTTCTTTACTTTTCGAACCATTTCTGCTGATGTTGCTCTTTTCTTCCGTGTACTTCCCGGACGTCGGGCTACGCCACCAGTATCACAGTAACGAGCGATGGTACGAGACACAAAAGATTTATTCACATTAAAATGCTGGAGTGATCTAACGATAGCCACTTGTGGTTTTCCAACAAAGAAATCACTCTATCACACTTGAATTCCATCACAAATAACTTTTTTTCTGGAAAATTCTCACCAAAATGCTTTTGTAATTTTAACAGCTGTGTCTTAGAAATGACAGCAGTCTGAAGTTGGTTGCAGTTTTTTCATCTCACCCTGTATTTTACTTGTGTTGTGTAAAACTTCGACCGAGTACGTCGAATTAAGGTTGTAAAACTATAAGTGACATTTTTTAAAATTTTATTGTAATATGTTTTTTCATTATTTTGTTAGCAAATATAAAATAGTAATGCAATATTGTTTCCAATTTTTAATTTCAGTTGCTGTTGCAGGGGAATCAATTTTCCATTTTAAAGCTGAAGCTGCCACAGAGAAGTCGTGCAGAGAAATTGTATTTTTTATCCTAAAAGGAATTTGTATTTCTTACAATTAGATTTAATAAAGATTTAGACAAAAAATAAAAAAATAAGTGTAAAGATGAGGATTCAAACATCTGCTAAACTTCTCAACTTGAACATAATAGATCAGGATTAGGAATATATGTGTGCTTTGAGTAGTATTTGTCGAGAAAATAACTATTTTGTATTGTGTGTTTTCTTGATGTCTAAAGCTTACTTTAAGGCATATTATTAAAGCGAATGTTTTAATAATACAAACCAAAAAAATAACTGTAATATTGTTAGACTGTGGTATATTTTAATACATTTTCTTTGTGTATAACATAGTTCAAAATTTTTTGTAAACAATACTGAAGAAATCACAAAATTAGTTAATTATTTGCAGAGATTATTCAGAACAAATTTAAACAAATTCACACTTAAGAGCATTGATGCTGATTTTCATAAGCGCCTTAGAATATGCTTCACAGTTGGATGCTATGAGAGAGACGTTTAGAAAATAATATGGCAAGTCTGTGGTAGTGCATTGGCATTTTTGTTATTCGTGATTGTGGGTTTTCTACTTTTCATGTAACAAGCGCCCAGAACAGAGTAGTAGGTATATTCCTGCACATGTTTAAATTCAAATTGAAATATCTCAGCAAATACCTAATATATTTCTATGATTTTTTCACCATGATGTAGTGCAAATATTCTATTTTCAATACGTGCAAAGGAGAATTAGGAATATCATTGGTTTTAAAGAGAAAATTGCGTTGGTATGTAAACTTACGAAGTTCGGACAAAATCAACTAAATTTTTATAAAATGTTGTTTTTTACAATGTAGGATAGACTCTTAGACTCCACATTTCTTACAATAGACATATTATGGGCTAGTTTTCTCACAAAGCAACTAAAGGGAATAATGTTTCACATTTGGTCATGCCAGTTCACATTTTGGTATAGCCCCCATATATATCACAATTTCAATTATTTTTTTGGTTTTTGTCATATTTTTATAACCTCAGCCATATGCCTAGAGAGGGTATATATCATTTTATACGATCAAAACGTGCCTAGCCGAAATAACGGTTTTAGACCCTAGGTCTCTTCGGACCGAATCCGTTTAGGACATTTGGAGTTGATCTAGAGATGTCCGTCTGTCTGACTGGTGCGCACGAGGAGTATCCGATTTGGTCCAAACATGGTACTTCGTAATATTTTGGTCAAACGAATATCGAATTCGGAAATGGGCAATATAGGTCCTCTCCTTCTGGTACCTCTCTCACAAAATGTCGAAATTTTCCAAAAATATATTTTCTGCCCAGAAAGAGAAACGATAATCCGATTTTGCTCCAACTTTGCTAATCCTAATATTTGCGCCAGTGCTATATCAGGTGCGAAAATGGACAATATCGGTCCACTCTATCAAGTATCTCCCCCACAAAGGGTTAAAATTTTGAATAATTACAAATTTTATAAAATGTGATTTAAGAGTCCGATTGTCTTCAAATTTCACACATCCCAACAATTTTTATTAAGATGGAATATATTGGTCCACTCCTGCTGGTACCTCCCCCACTGAAGGTCGAACTTTTGAATATCAATGGAGCTCATAAAACGCGAAATTAACATCCGATTCCATTCAGACTTGGCTCATCTCAATAGCTCCATCAACACAAGATCTTCTGGTACATCCCTCACATAGGGTTCAAGATTTTGAGAAACAAAACGCTCAAAGTAAGCCAAATAAGCATTCAAGTCTCTTCAACTTTCACACATGCATACATTTGCTAACACAAGATCTGTTGTGATATTTACATATCTGCGAAAACCTTCTTGTATCTAACCCAAAAAGGTCACACTTGTCAATACTTTTATCTGTCATAAATTTCGAAACAAGTCGGCGATTTTTTAAAATTTGCTATATCTTAATATTTCTCTCAACCAGAAACTTGGGATGAATATTGATTTTATGATGAAGTTACCTGGGACGTCGAAATATTTATATCGTATTTATTTAGGTCCGATATGAAATGGACAATATTGACCCATTCCTTCAGAACCCACTCCATAGAGGGTCAAGACTTTGAATAATCATAACAGAAGTTAAAATATATTTAAATAATCGATCATTGGCTGAGGGTATACGTCTGATACTTTTTGACTTGTTCATACTAATTTCGTCAAAAATTATCGTTATGGTATAACGCTAACGAATACTATCATCCCCACCCAGATTGGCTGTTGCACAGTGTAAATGTTGAAATGGGAGTAGTTAAAACCCAGATTGGAATTGCATACATTGTATTACAGGTTATTTTAAAATCCGATGATGACCTTCTTAAATGTTCTTGTTGCTGTTCTCAAATATTTTGCCTTTAGAATGTGTTTTTGTGGGTAAAAGATTTGGCATTCCTCTAATATCCTTCCCCTTCTTTAAACAAATAAAACTCAATTGGTTTATTTTTTTTTTTTTTTTTCTAAAATTTTATTAATTTTTTTGTATGATTTTCACAAAGTTTTTTTTTTATGATTGGTTTACATTTTACATAATTTATAAGCAGTTTATCATTTCATTATTTAATGTTTGTTTCTTTAAATATATAAAGTGTAATTATTTATATATTGAATTGTTGCTGTGTGGTTTACTTTAAATTATACAATTGTTTTTTGTTTAATTAAAATTTAAATTATTACATTACGATTTTAAAAGAATTTTTTTTTTGTTTAAAGATGTTTGAAGAAAAATTATAAAAACCTAAACTTAAACAAATAATGCAATAAAATAATTATATAAAATTGTATTTTTATAAAATACACAAAAATATGAAAAATAAAAAAATATTACTGGTAGTTTAAAAGAATTGCAATGATTTAGTTATGGCAATCCAAAACAAAACAACTAAAATAAGTTTGAAAGAAAGAAATGACGAAAAAAACTAAAATGTTTGCTTATTGCATTGATGTAAAAATTATATTATATAAATATGATTGTGTATTTAAATATTGTTGGTGAAAGATTGTTTTAATTATTTTATAAAACTACGTGATTAATTTTTTTCGATTTATAAAAGTTATATGCTGTTGGTTTTTGTTGTTTTTTATTGTTAATGTGTACGTGTGGTGTGAGAGCACTTTATTTTGTTTTGTGAAATATCTAGCCTGTTTTCTTTAAAATGTTTAAATAATAAAGCATGCCATGTAGACGATGAATATAATTCCCATATAGGTTGGAAAAAAGCTTACAACGACAAAATTAAGGAAATTGCAATGTGTTGAACATTTATAGATAAGATAGAAAATTTTGTGGTAGCAAATGTCTTTTTTTTTCTTAATTTTTTAGTTGTTATTTTTTGACGATTCCCATTTGTTGTCCTATGTGTGAAAATGTATATCCAATTTTATAAAAAAAATTACAACAATGTTTCAAAATAACAAAAAAGCACATCATACAACACAAGGGAATTATGCCTTTGCTATGTTTTTTTAATATTGCATTAATTTTGAACGAATTGCATTTCCCAGCTCATGACAAATCCTTTTTCAATATATGTTTCTCGGAGAAATCATATAAAAAGGACCTATTGTTTCCAGAGCTAAAATATGCACATACAATTGTTATTTTATGATTAGTTCAAAATAAATGAATATTTTTTTTTTTTTCAAAACAGCTGGGTATAATGTATTTCACACAACAATTTATTAATGAGATGAGGCTGGGGAGGAAGGTGGGTAGGGGTAGCAGCACTAAAAAATATACAATTCAATTTTCAAAAATATTCAACAACACAATGTACTATTTTCTACAGTCATATAAAATGTTTTGAATATAGTACATTAATTTTGTAAGTTTCAAATTACAATAATTTCTTTAAAAAAACTTTTTTAAATGATGAAAAAATTTCTAAAATTAAAAAAAAATATATATTTTTTTTCAAATGACAAAAATTGCAACAATTGTAAATGTGTGAAAAAAAAGAAACAAATTTAAATATCTAATAAAGATACATACAAACAAATATGTATGCACAATTTTGATTTCTTTTTGGATAAATATTATTTTATAAAATACATAATGAAATATGTAAAAACAAATACAAATTGTTGTATACAATTTTATGTGATTTTTGAGTGTTAATGCACCGCAACCGCTGCTCCCCATCGATGTCTATTGATAAAAGCCAATTGTATAGTTTCTGCCAAAGTGTCCCATGCGTCGCTGACGTCCAGCTAAATCAAGAAAGAAAAAAAGTTAAAAATTAGTTTGTAATATCATAGGTTAATTTTGTAGCTTATTAACAGATAATTAAGGGGAAATATATAAATAAATATTATTACTTTTATCTATCTAAAATTAGACATATAAAGAAATTTTAGATACGAGAACATGTGTGGTTTAGAAATTCCTATATAGGGTTTCTATGTATTAGCACGTGGAGGAATGTCAAGTCTTTTCATAAAGGTATAGCTTAGAATAGAATATAACTTTTTTATGAACACTTGAGAAGGAACCGTATTCCGACTACAAGCGAGATTACTTTTTTATGTGTGGTAGTCTCAGCAGTATATTGCAGTCATAAGTTATCATAATCTAAATAATTCTAGCTTTAAGACAAAAATCCAAACTGACCTGATTTAGCATAAACTGGAATTATAAGTTCTTGGACAAAATAATCGGTTAATTTTTTAACTTATTAACCGGTCTTTTCCTGTCTGAGTTAGTTTTATTGATTTTTTTTAACGAAAATGAAAAGATCATCTGTAATCCACATTTTTTGTTTCTCTAAGATGTAAAACCTCCTGAGTTGAAAAATTTCGATTAAAATCTAACAATTTGGTATATATTCTTAGTGTGCAGAATACAGAGCAAGATGAAAAAACTGCAACCAACTTCAGACTGCTGTCATTACGAAGCCACTCGTCCGACAGCTGTTAAATTGATTCCAGAAAAAAAGTTATTCGTGATGGAATTCAAGCGTGATAGTGTGATTTCTTTATATTTGGCTTGAAAACCACAAGTGGCTATCGTTTGGGGCACTCCAGCATTTAAATGTAAATATATCTTTTGTGCCTCGTACTATCTATCGCTCGTTCCTGTGATACTGGTGGACGACGTCACAGTGGTCGAAAAATGGCTCGTGAGCTGAACATATCGCAATATTCCATTCGGCAAATATTGAAAAATTAGGGGTAAAGTCATCGAAATTCCAAAAAGTGCAAGAACTTACACCGCAACAGAAAGAAAATAGAGTCAAAAGAGCTAAAGAGTTGCTTTGCTTGGCCGAAAGTGATGAAGTGCCGAATTTGGTTTTCTCCGATGAGAAAACATTCGTTGTCCAGCAGTTTGTAAACAAACAAAATGATCGTGTTTACTTGCCAAAGAGGTCAACTGAAAATGTACACCTTCGGTTAGCCACCAGAACTCAAGCGCCGGCCATGGTGATGGTGTGGGCCGCCATAATAGCCGATGGTCGCTCTCCGCACGTATTAATCGACCGTGGCATCAAAAAATGCCGAATATTATCGCGAAATTATTCTGGAGGGTGTATAAAAGCCTTGGGTACGCAAACATTTTGGCCGCAGACCTTGGACATTCTAACAGGACTCAGCACGCGCTACCCAAGAATGCTTACAAAGAGGTTCCCCGCTTCGTCTCCAGCGCACAAGGGCCACCAAAATCTCCGGATACCAATCCGTTGGACTATTGTGTCTGGAGTATTTTGGAAAGCAAGGTTGGCACTAAAAAATACCAAAGTGTCGATCACCGCCAGGAATGGGCACAATGCCGCAGAGCAACATTCGGGCATCGTGTGACGGTTTCATTGGCCGTTTGAAGGCCATAATTCGTGCCAAAGGTGACAAATTCGAAAAAATCTAAACTTATTTTAAAATTTGATGCTATTTCCGACATTTTTTCCTTTCATTCAATAAAATTTAAAAATTATGACGTTTATTGCATTTTTTATCTCACCCTGTATTAAACATTTTATAGGAAGAGATTCAGCTATTAAAAGTTCGACAGCAGAGTTCGAATATAGGTTTTTGGCTACAAACTACAGACTATTTAAAAAAAAATAGAAAAGCCTGTCTAAAGTGACAAGGCTTCGTAATGTAGTAGAAATATATTTTTTGGATAATATATTGTTATATTGGGGCCTCTATTGCAACATCTAAAATATAAATAAGGCAAAAGGTTAAAGGCAAATGAACAAGCAAGTTCATTGTAATCTCATGGAAATTACCCATTTTTCATTAATAAAATACGTAGTAGTCTGAAAAATCACTAATGCTAAGCAACTAGTCAATGACTAATAATTATGCGTATGAATAATATGTAAATATGATGAAATAATAATGATTTAACTGCAATTATGCTAACACGTATAATGCGTCACCTTTTTAACCTCACATGAGCGATCATGGGTGAATAAGCTCATCGGAGACTCGTGACAAACATGAAACTAAAGGAAAAATTTTTTTAATAACGGTCAGTAACATTCGGAGGAGAAAAATAAAAACAAGTTACAAATAGCTACAAAATAACAAAGATAACAAATATGACATTCAAGTTTTCTAGGTGAATTACTTTTTTTTTGCAGTGGGGGCAATAAACCTAATTTCAACAAAACAATGTTATTTTACAAAGTTTACAGTAAATTATTTTAGAAAAAATAAATGAAATCAATTTAAAAGTGACACTTTTATTATTAATATTATAGAAATGTCAACCTTGTTCTAATTTTGTCAAATCTTGAGGGGTTTAGTTTTGCTTAATGCCCTAACACAATGGAGTTAAATCTGCATTTATACATGCAAGTTGCAGCTCTAATACAATCACACATGTTCCTTGGCAAACTCACTTTCAGCTCAACTCCCAAGGTTTTTTTTTCTTCCCTTAAAAATGCCTTGTCAGTAATTTCAGCTTTTTTCCTATTTATTACAAATTAAAGCGTCAGTTCGAAATTGATTTGTCGTTCTTTGCAACTGCGGAAGGGAAAATACATGTGCAATAGAAATTGAAGTTTCGTCGGGTTATGTCAATCTGGCTTTGGAATGACCCATTGTCCATGTTAATTTGTAATCACTCTACAGGTCGCAGTTACATTATTCATAAAAATTTGCATGTAGTTAGCGTTAGGACCAGAATAGAACCCTATAGTCTTGAAGATGTTCACAAAATATTTTAGGAATGATACATACATATTTTAAATTTTGCACAAGACCAGGGCGAAAGCCTAGCAAATTTAAATCGACATCGGAGTGTATTTAACGGTTGAAATGGAGTATAACTTTTATGTGAAACATTTTCCGCATAAATATTGTTCAAATGCAATGCTATATGGGCTATATCAAAATTTTGACTTATATGGCCCATTTTCAACACCTAAAATTCTGGCCAGACGGACATAGAGTCTTTTGCTGGTCGAGTATACAGGGTGAGATAAAAAAACTGCAACCAACTTTGGACTGCTGTCATTTCTAAGCCAATCGTCCGACAGCTGTTGAAATTATTCCAGTGACAGCTCATTATACTGTTTACAAGCGTACAAAAGCATTTTTTGTGAGAATTTTCCACAAAAAAAGTTATTCGTGATGGAATTCAAGCGTGAGAGTGTAATTTCTTTATATTTGGATGGAAACCCACAGGTGGCTATCATTAGAGCACTCCAGCATTTAAATGTGAATAAATCTTTTGTGTCTCGTACCATCGGTCGTTACCGTGATACTGGTAGCGTAGTCCGACGTCAAGGAAGTGGACGGAAGAAACCCGCGTCGCAGTGGCCGAAAATGGCTCGCAAATATTGAAAAATGAGCTCGGGGTAAAGCCATTGAAATTCCCAAAAGTGCAAGAACTTACACCGCAACAGAAAGAAAATTACCATTTCATTGGCCAGAATTCGTGCCAAATGTGACCAATTCGAACAAATCTAAACTTATTGTAAAATTTGATGCTATTTAAATAAAGAAATGTAAAATATATGACGTTTGACTTTGTTGCAGTTTTTTATCTCACCCTGTATATGGCCCACTAACAATTCTAGCCAGACGGACATGTCTAATCAACATAGAATCTTATGCTGATCGAGTATATATCGTTTGTGGGGTCTAAAATGTTTATTTCGAGGAATGACAAACCTAATATACTCTGCATACTTTTAAGAGATCGTAAGTTTTTGAAAATTCTGATGCCAGATAAATTAGGATAATTCAAAAGAAGGAACAAATAACAATGATTCTAAATTGGAAATTTACATATAAATTATACTGTTGTAGGTATCACATGGTCAACCTCGCCAGACTGTAGCCTTTTATTCAATTACAAATATAAATTTAAACTATTGTATCATGTTCAGGTCGACAGTCTTTCTGATTTAAGTGTTTCATAAACGCTTAAGGGGTAATTTGTATGAAGAATTTAAAAATTGTTTTATAGATAGGAAAACATTTATATGTTTTCAGTATATTCTAATATATATTCTATCCTTTCTACAGCTATTCTAACGAACAATTTGTCATTTATTGGGAAAATGAACTATGCAAGTTCTTTGTGGATTGGAGACATTCTCAAAGGCGCCTCTATATTTAGAGGGTATATGCTACATATTCAAAAAATATACACATATTTCTTAGAATTAAAGAAACCTAAACAGGACGTCTGCAAAATTGTGTAACCATAAATGTATGGTACGGAGTTTTTTTTTTTTTTTTTTTTTTTTTTTGATGCCCTCCCATCTTACATTTATGTATATGAGACAATTGCGTATGATTGTATGAACAAAGACAAATATTTATACAGACCTTCCCTGGCGTTACTTTAGAAAAAATCACATTAAAGATCATCTAAATAAAAACATTTCTATGCAAAAACAAGTAAGCAAAGGCTACAGTCGAGCGGGGCCGACCGTTGAATACCCTACAACACTATAATAAACCATACAGTTTATATAGGCGAGATACTCGAAAGAATTCCACAAGATATTGTGACAAATAATAAAAGAAAACCATCAGGTTTCGTTCTCTAATTTTCGAATAATAGCAACTTAAACTAATTTGCTCATTTCCAATTTATTGGTAGATGTTGCACGTAAATGGTCTTCCTAGATCCGGAACCAATATTTCCCAAAGACCTATGATCTCTCAGAAGTGGCAAAAGATTAACATTTATTATTGGTTTTTGACTGAAACGCATCTACATGAGATACAGACATTTGACTATATTCTTCAGCGAAATCAGCGTTAACGAAATAGTCAAAAGTGCGTCTTTCCTGTATTTGTGAATTCTCCAAAAAGTCACTGTATTTTGTCTACAAAAGTTGGCAAATTATTTCACACATTGAATATTTTTGGATGGCCATCCAAAACTGCTTGGCTTTTGTAATGTCCGGTAACCCCCATTCAAATGTGCGTGAGAATCGGGCGATAATTACGACCTGCAGACAATTTTGCAGTTTTTTGGTCCATTTTAACCCCTAAATATGTGGCGATCATCTCCAAAAAGAATAAGCTTCTATGCTGACCCTCATCTTATCTCCATGCAAAATTTCGTAAGGATCGGGCCATAAATGCGATCTGTATATGATATCCTAACTACTTAGTTTTGTTAGCTGTAAAAATATTACCAAATGTTTAATTCAAAATGAAAATATGCCAAAAATATGACAAAATTGAAAAATTATGAGAAAATTTTACAAAATCCATATTTTCATCTTTAGAGAGATATTTTTATGCGATTTTTTTAGACGTTTTTTCTTTCCTGTCAAGAGGCCATTCTGAATTAATGAGAACTGTGGAAATCAGTTCAGCCGTTCTCGACATATAAGAGATTTTTCAAGCATATCTTCTTTGATAAACGTATATATCGCACATATTTTGCTATATATCCGTTTTGTTGGATGTTAACACCAATGTAAAGATCAGAAGTAACCTTGTCATGGCTTTGTGATTTCGCCGGGATTTAAAATATTCGCGGTTTAATGAAAATTTTTGATTTTTTTCAACACAAAAGATATGGTCTATTTTACCCGCTAAGTATTATCCGATGACCACCTAAATTGGTAGGCTTCTTCCCCGCCCCAAACTCTAGTTACATGCGAAATTCCGCGTCGATTGGTCAATAATTGCGACCTGTATAGCTACTGCAAAATCCGAAAATTTTTCAGTATTTGGTCCATTTCAACCCCTAAACATTTGGCGATCATCTCCAAAAGAAATAGGGTTCTATTCTGACCCCAGACCCAACTCCATTCTAAATTTCGTGAAGATCGGGCCATAATTGCGACCTGTAGAGTGATTACAAATTAACATGGACAGACGGACAGACGGACGGACGGACATACATAGCTAGATCGACTCAGCTCGGCGAGCTAGGAAGATCCATATATACTTTCCTATGTGGGAAACCAATATTTCGAGGTGTTACATAATTTTTGGGCCAATCAAACTTATAATACCCCCAACACATAGTGTTGTAGGGTATAATTAAATAATATACCAACATATTTCTAAATACTTATATCTAAACACATAAAACATACAAGAAATATACGTACAGATTTTACAAAAATCGTTTTGAGGGGACTTTTCTTGGGATTTTCAATTAGTCTTGTGTTCCATTTGGTGGGACTTAGGATATTGGAGGTTGGTGATGATTTTTTTTTTGTTATCCCACACAATTCCGTATGCGTTGAGTATGGTGGTAGTTGTAGTTGTTGCTTTAAAGTTTTCACAAAATTAAGCTGTTGTTGTTGTTGTAATTGAATTGATTTCACACACACAGGCTGCAGGGTAATTAATAAGAATGAACACTTTTACGATTACATTAGGTTTGAAATAGGTGGTGGTTCAACAAAACAACAAATATTTGGATTCTTTTTGTAGGTAATTTTGGTGGAGCGTATGTAGTTGTTTTGGATGCTTTCTGATCATGTTGTTGTTGTATAATTTTCTAGAACGTATTTTGTTGTTTATTTACGTTGATTCAGGCGTTGCACACGTACTGGAAATAGACATGGAAGAAACACAGGAAAGAACAAAAACAAACATGGATTAGTCGGATTGGTACAATAAAATACATATAAATTTTGGTTTAGTTTTTTTTTTTTTGTTTTAGTACAAGAAAAACAATAACAAACAATATGCGAAACAACAATTTTTTGAAATATTGATTTAATCGATATTTCAGTTTTTTTGTTTTGTCTTTGCAAAAGGGGGTTAATTAGCTGTAGAACAAGGGAAAATAACAACATTCAGGAATTAGTTCAAAATTTTAACCAAAATTACAGGATTTTTTTTTGGATTTCAGTTTTCTTGGGCGGCTTATAAGAAGCAGAGAAGCGTTGTGATTCAAAAGTTCAGTTAAAGATAGAGCATACACAAAATTGGCATTCCATTTTATTTTATTGATTTCAAAATTAGAAATTGCGACGCACACATGGCAATTTGTTATTTCATGGCCAACAAGGTTAATTTTCATAACGCTGGGAAAATATAACCCAGATCGGCTTAAAAATATAAAGGTCTGAGAACACATTTCCTTGAAGTTTTTTTTTTATATTTTCCGAATAATAGCTTGTTTTACAACAGTATGCTGGCTTAAGCATTAGTAGATCTCTCTTTCATTTAATTGCACATATTTTGTATTTTTAACACAACATACACAAAATATTTTGTTTACATCTATTACAAAATAATGGGAAATTTCAAAATTTACAAACTTGTTCACATTAGACTGGGGATTGATTGTTGTTTTTAAAATTTAATTTGATTTCATTTTATAATCCACATAGATATTATTTATATCGATGATATGGCGTAGATTTGGTTTTGATGGTCCGAGATATTTTGTTTTAAGGAAACTATGTTAAGTTGGTTTTTGTATATCAGGACAACTAGGCGACTAAACTACTGGGTAGGTGTAATTATGTTTCCATTTTTTGTGTGTTTCTTTTAATAAAATTTACTTAGAAATGTAAATCGCAGTTTAGTTGCTATAATGAAAAAAGAATGGAATAGAAAATAATACAGTAACTATTAATGGAGTTTGAAAAATTTGGGAGAATGATTGTTCGGGTAATGTGTCCTTTGTATGTGTGGTGTTTGAAATTAATATTGTATCAATTTATTTTAAATAATCATGGTTTATGTTACTAATAATTTCCAATTTGTTATGAGCCACACAAGGTGACAGTTCAGGAAAGCGTGTGACGGTTTCATTGGCCGTTTGAAGGCCATAATTCGTGCCAAAGGTGACCAATTCGAACAAATCTAAACTTATTCTAAAATTTGATGCTATTTCTGACATTTTCTGCTTTCATTCAATAAAATTTAAGAAAAATGTAAAAATTATGGCGCTTGATTTTGTTGCAGTTTTTTACCTCACCCTGTATTGAAAAGGTTATTTCCGTTTTGAACTCGAAATTGAGAAAATTTGGATCTTTGTTTTAAAAATTCCCTTACCACAAGAAATTAAGTCACTATTTTATCTAGATAGCGAATCTTTTCATTTTTTTGAGAAATTTTGATTATTCGGATGTTTTTAATATAGTTATGAAGGTCACAAGAAATGATTGGAAATTCGTTAATTTTGTGTCTTTTTAAATCGTGTTGTTTGGGGTATAAATCTACCATGACTATTTAAAATATTGATAAAATGTGTGTGTGTTTGTTTGTTTGTGTGTAAAAGGAAAGCGTATTTGAAGGACAGGGCTTAGCGAGCGGGCACAGGACAACAATTATAAAAAGCAAACAAATAATGCATTAACAATAGATCAAAAAATAACAACTTAAAAACATTTTAAATTTGGATTTTACAAAATAACATCAACTTATGGCGGTAACATAAAAAACATGCAAATTTTGAAAACAAAGTAAAAAAATAAAAAAAATAAATAAAAAATTAAAAAATTGCTTAAAATCCAGTTTTTTCTTTTATTTGGAAATATTACAAAATCACTACATTTTTGGGTTCCTTCATAGGCATAGACATATGACATTGTTTGGAAGCATTTTTAAACAGTTTAGACTTATGGCTGCCGGGCTGCCATATGAGTTTAGTTTATTTTGAAGAGAGTAAAATAAAACTGAAGAGAGAGCGTAACATCAACAAAATGCAAAATAGGCAAACCATACTTCATTTTGTTGGCTTTGTATAGCTACCTTTTGAGTGAATTTTTTAGGATACTTTTATAAACCAAAAACGTGAAGATTAATATCCATTGTGTAGAAAGTCCCCACGGAAGGAGTCTAAAGTATGACTTCTTCAAATATGTTTTCAAAGAATTCAACTTTGTTTTTTTTGGGGGGAAACTACTACCATGATGATGTTTGTTGGGATTAGAAGTTAATGTCGAAGTCGTTGTAGTTATTAATTCGTTGCAGCTTTTCTTTTATAATATTTTTTGTAGTATATCATTATTTTGTTGCTTAAGTCTTCTAATGTTTTCTTATGTGACTTTTTTGTATATATCATTTACTCCATGGGTACATATATTTGGTTTAATTATTATACGAGTAGTAAATAATGATGAGATACGTAGGTATATTTTTTTTATTTCCTTCTTGTGTCGTGTTTTTTTATTTCTTATAATGTAAAGAAGAAAGTGTTTCTTCATTTCATTGTGTGTTATTAGTGTATTTTATTTTTGAGTTATTATTGTTTATTTTATATATAAAATTAAAGTTAGAAAATAAAGCGTTGATATATGTTTTTGGTTACGTTTTCTGTTTGTTTCCTTGATAATAGACCCTGTGATGGGTTCTTCTCTTATTTTTATTAATTTTTCTCATTTCTGCAAGGACCACAATGCCTTAGGGTCCTTAATAACTTATGGTAACCATAAAGTTCTGTCATTATACAAATTACTGTTTTAGAAATGAGATTTTCTAATCTTTTATTTTAGGAGTATTTCTTTTTTTTTGTTTTCTTGGTAATATAGTTTGTGATTTTTTCATTTTTATTATTTACTTTATATGATTTATATTTTTTTAAGTTTTCATTTTTTTTTTGTGTTAAATATTTTTTTCTTTACTGAACTCTTGTTGGATTTCTGTGAAGATTATTGAAAAATCTGAACTGCAGACGTAAATCAAGATCTTTCTTACTGTAATCGAGAGAAAGAAAGAAATAAAAAATAAAAGAAATAATAAAATAAACATAAATTAAAACAACACATTGAATGTTTAATACATAAAATAAATAAATAAATAATAAACGTAGAAACTAGGATGGTAAAACGTAATTTGTTTGTTCAAATGAAAGGAGGACTAGGAGGATACGTATACGCAACAAAACAAAAAATAAGAGTCAACAACATTTAGAATCACAGTTGGGTACAAAAACATCGAGGAAGTGATCAGATTTGGTCTCTAGTTTCTAAGCCAACCAGAGGTGCTATCAGAGAAAGAACAGAAATTGGTAGGTAGTATAGAAAACAAAATCATAGGCCTGGACAAAAATCAGGTATATATTTGAGATGATCAGACAGATGATATGATAATAAGTTATGAAAATTGAATTGGGGAGAAAAAAGTAGACATTTGTGTGTCATGGCAGAATGTTATTATTAAAAAAAAAACAAGTTTTCATTAGGCCGTAAAAGGAATGCAAATCTAGCCAAGACACTCAACAATGTACTTTAATCTAATGATTCAATTATGGCGTCCAAATGAAAATCAACCAGAAGGATATGAGAGATATTAAAATGACAGCAGAATGTGACCGCTTTTTGGATTGACGACTGTGATTTATAATAAAGCCTTTAATTATGCCATTTCTAAGATGGCTATTTGGTATTATAGTGAAAATCATGTGACAGACAAGGGATAAAACGAAGGAAATTGAGGATCTCTGATCTTGGAAACGACGAGCAAGAAAAAAATACAACTTAAAGGGGTTATTCACATTCAAATAAATAATAACAAAAATATACAGAAAACTTGATGAATAATGACGATGAATACAGAGAGAGATGAACGACAAAGAAGATGAAAGCATACATGACAAAAGAGATGAGGAAAAAAAAACAGAATCATACTTGAAAATATACAACAAATGAGAGGAATAATTATGTACAAATATAAATTGGTCTGCAATTATAAACATATTTGGAGTGTAAGATAAACATAGGATACACAGAGAAATATCAATAAACACAATCAACATTGAAGCATTTTTCTGAAATGTGTTTTGATTTGAAGCATTTTTACAGTATTGAAATGTAAGTTTGGATCTGCTATTCCAAACACGTATAAGAAACTCTGATGACTTTAGCTTTCAGGCTGGCTGTATTGTATGTTTTTGTTGGGGGAGTTTTATTTGGTGTGGCTGTTTGGTGGTAGTGACTATGTGTGTAACGCATTTTTTGTACACAGCTTAAAGTTGAAACTGTTCTTGCTGGATTGTGTGGGAAGTTTTTGGTGTTCATTTTATGATTGTGTCCTTTTTTACAGACTAACTCACGTATGGGATTTATAGCTGGTAAGATCTTCATTATAAGCTGGCATATCAGCGGCAGCAGCAGCAGCTATGGCAGACATCGATGACATGGACGACGAAGCCGAGGACACTCTCCGTGATCCTTCATTCGAGGAGGCCACAAAATCAAAATCAAAAACACTATTACCGCCGCCACCACGTATAACCATATTGTCGGGATCAACCTCTACCTCATAGTCGGCACGAGGTTGAGGTGATGGCGAGGGTGAAGGTGATGGTGTTATGGGACTTCCACGAACCACCATATTATCAGGATCCACCTCGACCTCATATTCGACGCGAGGTATTGGCGAGGGTGAGGGCGATAGCTCCATTGAAGGTGGAGCAATGTAATCCATGCCCTGATTGGCCGGTGGCAATAAGAGCTTGGGCAAATTGGGTTTAAGTTTTTGTACACGTACAACTGATACATTTGCGATGATAATTGATTGACATATATATAATTTTTGAAGGGAGAATTTTCAATTTCGATGCGTATTTTTTGGTTAATTTACACGTGTATATTGAAGAATTTATGTAGATTTCGAATTGGATTTATTTAGAAAATAATAACAGAATTAAAATAATTAATAGTTATGAATATAATTAGAGAAAAAAATAAACAACAACAAATTACAAAGAAATATTACAGGAGAATATTAAACAAATATTACACAAAGGATATATAGAGAGAGGGAACAAAGAGAAATTAAGGGAAATATAAACCACAATTAAACAAATTGGGAAAGGAGTGGGGATATTGATTTCATTTAAGACGACTAAGTCAACAAATGATTCGAAACTACAAATCTACAAGAAATTAATGCGTATATGATAAAAACGAAACGATACGGTAATGGGCGGCGAACTTAGGATAATTGCACACAAATGAGTTGAAGAGGATTGGAGAACCAAGGAGTAGTTATAAAACAACAACAATAACACAGGTTTATATATTTTCAATTAATTCTGTTCCATTTTTTTAGAGAAAAGTCCCCTATTGGCTTTCAAAACGTATACTATTTTTTATCTATTTTTGTTTTATTTTAAATTTTCAACAAATAACAAAACAATAAACACATTATAATAACAACAACCAAAACAAATATTGGGTGAACTTTTTGTTTAAAAAGACATGAAGAAAACCATTTTCACGCATCATTACTGGTTGGTTGGTGGGTTATCAGACGCAGACAAAATACGTTGACGAGATATTGGTTGTTGGATGATTCTTTTCTGGTGGAAAGTAAACGTAGTGTTAAATTTTCCAAATAAGGTGGAGATTTACAAGGTAAGGTACACATCATATTACCTGAATCGATAATTAGATATCATAACCAGCATATTTTAGAGCGCGATCTTTATTATTGATACTTCAGAATGAGGCTCTATAGATTCCAAGGAAATTTAAAATGCTACTTTAAAGTATAAGTTAAAATTGGGGAAAAAATAAAACTAATTTCTAAACTATGGACATGAAAGGAAAATTGAGTTTTCCTTAAACAGAGTCATTCTTATCTGATTGAGAAGTATTAAAACCGAAAAAAGGTCAATGTCTGTTTCTACGTAAAACCTAATGAGTTGCATAATAGATGCAATATTGAATTTCCATTGACCTTTTCGATATACTGTTGATTTCTACAAAAAAAGGAAATTTTGATATTTATTATTTTTTCTCATATTATTGAGCATTTTTATGAATTCTTACTGTCACTAGTTCATGGAGGGAACTTTACTTTCTTCGTCAAAAAAATTTAAAAATACTGAAAACCCGTGAAGGAAGCATGATTCTTTTACATTGTAATAGAGGACTGTCCTACTGGTCTCTTCTACAAATAAAATACCTTGTTTCTGTCTTCTGTAAAGGACAAATTTTATCATCTGGTATCAGTCCTTCGATATTCTATTTATGGGCGGTCTGTTTATTTTAAAGCAATTACCAACTGTAGAAGTTATAAGTAAGCCATGAACAACTGTTGTTGTACCCGAAATGGATTCCCGAATGACGAGCTTGAGTCGTTTTGATCACAATATCGTGTCAACAAGAACTACAAAAATTCTAATAAAATGAAATTAAGGAAACAAAATGAACAAAGTCCATTCATATATTCGTGCGAACATTTTAAATTTCCTTTTCATCTAAATCCTCGTTATTCTTGGTCATGGCTAAGGCTTCCGTAACACTGCGAGGATTAGAGCACAATAGTAATATCTCATCCGTGTTACTGTTGTTATTGTTGTTGTTGCTGCGGTTGTTGCCATTGTCATCAGCAGCATTTGAAGACTTGTGCATATGATTAATAATACTCATATTGTTCGAATTGTTATTGTTGTTGTTGCTATGATATTCCAATGATAAATCATTGAGAATGGTGCTGTTGCTACAGTTGCTCTTATTATTCATATTAGTCACATGGGTTATTGTTGTTGTTGTTGCAACATTAGCATTATTCTCCAAATATTCCTGCTTAACATATGCACGTGATGATGACATTGCTGATGACGACACCGACGACGATGATAATGTTGCTGATGATTGTGACAATGATGTATTATTATCATCATTGATAGATGAATCAACAGTTGTAACATTTTTATTTATAAACGACAATGGTGCAGCATGAGCAGCAGCAGCAGCGGTATTAACTACCGCTGACGTTGGAGACGTTTTGCCATAATTTACATTGTGACTGCTTTTATCGAGTAATGAAATACATGTCGATGGTAAGATTGTGCCTGATGATGGCGATGATTTATTATTTTCCAATACAATGCTTTTATCTGGTGATGTAGTAGCTGATGATGACAACAATAACAATGATGGTGGCATTGGTAATGGCGGTGGTGGTGATGCTGTTGCTTTAAATGGTGATATGCGTGATGAAACTAAACTATTATCATCGTTTTCACCTTCACCTGTTTGTTTGTGCGACGTTTTGATGTGTTTTTTTTTTTTTGTTTATAAAAAATAAACCAAATTATCAGAATATTTGCCAAACTACCAAAGGGTTTTGATTTTTTTAAAACTAACTAAACCTTAAGGAAAGAACATTGTGGAGGGGGTCGATACAAGAGAATAAGATAAAAAAAAAATACGCAGTTGTAGAAAGTGGAAAAAACCAACGATGCCTCTTTAAACCGTACAGCTGCATAAACTTGTTTTAAAACTCTCTGAGCTAATAGGATGCTGTCATAGAGACAATTTTCCTCTGCTATAACTACTTTTCGATACTTACTTCTGTCAATGTTACGTTGCAAATGTGCAGCAACTCTATGACGGGCATCATTGAATTCAAGATGTAGACCCAATCTAAGCAGTGAGGTGTTCTTCTCCACTAAATCGGTAATTTCCATTTCAATCTTATTACCCAAAACTTGTGATCTCTGAAAAAATGTGGAAATAAAATATTAATTATTGAAAATTTCAATTAAATGAACAAAGTTACACAAGGTCAAATAATGAAATGAGAAAAACAGGCAACGATCAATTCGACAATTTGTCGAATAAAATTTTGTATGATTGTGCGGGCGATTTAATTGTCATCTCCTCTTGGTCAAACTGTATATAGGCTTCGAGCGTGATTAATATTATTACATTCTGTTTTTGAACGACAATTCGAAATTGAACTCGAAAGAACAGCACCGATTCCTTGTCCTTTTTTCAAAATGTCTCCTTTTTAAAAAAGAAAAGATTAATCTTGAAGCCGGCGAATTTCTTTCGAGTTAACTTTCGTATAGTATAGGAACTGGTCCAAGGAAAGGATTTTTCGTGTAGTGTTCATGATAAGTTGAGGGTTTATGTCATGGAAAAGTTTGTTTGAGTATTTTTTTTTTTCAAAAGGATGTTGTAAAAGTTGGGAAAAATTGGGTCGGGTTCGAAGTATGTTAGATAAAGAGGAGTATGGTTTGGTTTTGGTAAGTACTAATTATTAATTATCGAATCGATTTGTTTATACAGACATCTCAAAAACAATTTTTTGCGATTTTTAAAAATTCGGTGAGACCTACGAAGTCTAATATTTTAAAGAAATCAATATAAACAAATCGATTCGATAATTAATAATTAGTATTTATAGAGGTTTTTAAAGCGAACAAAATCGATGTTGAATAGAGATAATACTCTAGTGATTCTATTACCACCCCCAAAAAAGGTTGATTCTATTGATTAAAGTTTAATATCTTCTTAGACCTTGTGTAACATATATTCTAAATCATTGCGACTTACCTGATTGGAGGCTCTGAATTCCTCAATGGTGCGACACTTAAGTAGGGCTTGCACTAATTTAACTATGACAGGCGGACTGATGAAATTTGTTTCGACATTTAATACTCTCAAGGTTTTGCTTTTCTCAATGGCCTCGGCCAGCAATAGAGCTAACTTATCGGTTAAACCGACATTTGTTAGGGACAGTACTTCCAAGTGTTCATTACCGGGCAGTGCATTAATCAATTGTTCCAATTTTTCCTCGGAAATATTCTGCAGAAACAAAATCAAACAAATAAAGAAGCGAACATTAGAACATTTGATATTATCATTCAAATCAATTTCCTCACACATACCTTGATGTTATTCAAATTCAAATCAATCAATTTCTCATCATCATCCTTGACACGTCTTATGGACTCCTCAACGTCTGTATCGTTTGGTGGATCCATGGGATAGACTTTTTGTTGTGTCGACTTGGTGATGCCATCCCAACCCATGCCAACGGGTTGACCTTTGTTCAACAGCGAAGCATGATATTGATCTTGATTCATCATTGAGTGGAAACCCAATATAGCTGCCAAATCAATAATTTCTTCTTGTGTAGCATCCTTCAAAGCGCTCTCATATTCATCGCCCAAATCAATGGCAATCTTTTCCTCGGCCTCAACATCACGTTGATCACGTGGTGGCGGTACCCATTTCTTACCACGCACGGTACCCTTAACATAGGGTTCAAACTCTGGTTGATCGGGAGTTTCAATGGCTTGCTTGTTGATGTGTTCAATGAGCTTTTTGCGATTCAAGGGACCGGTGGGGTCCTTGGTGCACTCATAGCTGCAACGTTGATCGGGGGGCAAGAAGTTGTCCTGAAATTAAAAAAAAAGTGTTTGTATTTTAAATAGTGTCTGGAAAATGATATTTTTTTGGCAAAGTCACTCGTTTATTTTTACAATTATTTGTGAAGAATTATCAAGCCATAGTCGTGGACTTTTTGGGTATATTTTTTTTAAAGGACAGTTAGGACAATATTGGGTCATAATTGTGAATAATTAATGAACATTTTTGAAAGACTATTAGAGTCATAATGGAGGATTTTTTATTTTTGGAGAAATATGTGACTCAAATTGGTTGATTTTTATGAATATTTTTTTTTTAAATTACTATCATATCCATTATCGGACTGTTGGATCCAAATCGGGGATTTTTAAGGACATTTTTCGGAACTATTTGAAAAAAACAACGAGATTTCAGATATTTAAAAAAAAAAAGCAAAATATTTGTGAAGGTTAATCAGAACTATAATTGTGAAGTTTTTTATAAATATTTTTTAATACTATCGGAGGCATGATTTTGAATTTTTAAGAATCATCATCGATGATTTTAGAAATAGTTTTTGAAGGACTAGCAAAACCATACACATGATTATTTTAAAAATAATAATTCTTGAAGGACGATCAGAGTCATTGCCGTGTAAGAATATTTTTAAGGGACTAACCGAGGCATATTTAGACTATTGGAGCCATACCAATTTTTTAAATCTTTTCAAGGGCGAAATGTTCATATTTAAGAGTAATTAATGAAGGACTAACAAAGGCACAATGAGAAAAAAAAACTGGAACAAATTCAAACGCCATAATTTTAACATTTTTTTTAATTTTACTGAAAGAAAGCAAAAAATGTCGGAAATAACATCAAATTTTAGAATAAGTTAAGATTTGTTCGAATTGGTCACCTATGGCACGAATTATGGCCTGTGAATGAAATGGTGAATGAAACCGTCACACGCTGCCCGAATGGTACTCTGCGGTATTTTGGCTCATTCCTGGCGAAGCGCTTGCTTCAGGTGATGGACACTTTGGTATTTCTTAGTACAAACCTTGCTTTCCAAAATACTCCAGATACAATAGTCTAACGGATTGGTATCCGGATATTTTGGTGATCATTGTGCGCTGAAAATGAAGCGAGAAAGAAGGCGCACATTTTCAGCTGACCTCTTTGGCAAGTAAACACGGTCATTTTGTTTGTCTACAAACTACTGGACAACGAATGTTTTCTCATCGGAGAAAACCAAATTCGGCAGTTCACCACTTTCGGGCAAGCGATGCAACTCTTTAGCTCTGCGTCTATTTTGCGGTGTAAGTTCTTGCACTTTTTGGAATTTCAATGGCCGAGCTCATTTTTCATTATTTGCCGAACGGAATATTGTGTATGTTCAGCTCACGAGCCATTTTTCGGCCACTGCGACGCTGGTTTCGATCAAGTCGCTTCTTTAATTTTCGAACCATTTCTGATGATGTTGCTGCTTCCGTGCACTTCCTTAACGTCGGGCTATGCCACTAGCGACACGGCAACGACGATGGTACGAGACACAAGAGATATATTCACATTTAAATGCTGGAACGATAGCCTATTGTGGTTTTCCAGTCAAATATAAAGAAATCACACTATCACGCTTGAATTCCATTACGAAAAACTTTTTTTCTGGAAAATTCTCACCGAAATGCTTTTCTACGCTTGTAAGCAATATAATGAGCTGTCACTGGAATAATTTCAACAGCTGTCGGACGAGTGGCTTAGAAATGAAGTTGGTTGCAGTTTTTTCATCCCACCCTGTATAATTGTGGATTTTTTGGGAATAATTTGAAGCCTACAATCGTGATTTTTTTAAAAGATAATATCTAAGAACCTTTATGTTCACAATCTTGCATTTTGTGAATAAAAATTGCAAGGCCTTACAGTCCACGTTCTCCGATTTTTTCGCAAACTTTTAAGTCTAAAGGCCTTGATTTTTTAATAATAGTTTTTGAAAGGCCTTTAGTTTCCCAATCGAAAATTTTTAATAATATTTAAATAATCTTTAAGTCAACTATATTAATTTTTCGGACATCTTCAAAAGGACAGTTAAGACACTACAACCGCGGATTTAAGGAAACTTTTCTCCACAAAAGGCATTCCCTGGACTAATTTTCTTCTTCTTATTATTTTTTTTATACTTACATCAGGATCGACTTCCTTGGCCAATATGTTAATTTCCTCGGGCGACAATTGAGCCAATAATGTTTCAACATCGACATCATCATATTCACTCAAATCTTTGCCGTACAATTTAGCTGGGGCAGTTAAACTGGAAGTTTTTGTGGTCGATGAAGTCTGCAAAGATAGAATAAAAAAAAAACAACAACAATTAGTTATGTTTCAAACACTTTTTTTTCACAATGTTAACAAAATACTTGAAACAAAAGAAAACAAAATATGGATAACAAACTTTTCTCAAGGGCAATGTTTGCGGTGGTGGCTGAGGAGCTCTTCTTTTCACTTTGGGTACATGTTTCAGTTTGATGCGTTGAAATTCAGGCAAGTCACTTGATATCGATGATCTCTTTGAATCTCCTGAAGAGGACGACAAGGATGGCTCAGACATGGTGTTGTTTTTTTCTTTGTTTTAATTTTTTTTTGAATTTTAGTTTTTTTTTATTTTACTTTTGTTTTGAACAATGCCACGGTGTGTTGCTTACTAAATCAAGCTCAAGCTTAAGGTCAATAGTGAACCCTGTCCAGTAGCTAAGACGACATATTCATAACCAAAGGGAAAAGTCAGCAACAAAACAAAACAAAAAATTATTACCGCCAACAAAAACACAAAATAATCGATATCAATAAAAATTTGACAAAATCCAATTAGAAGCAGGAAAAACAAAGACAACATTTAAATAAACAATAATTCCTTGGCATTAAGATTCAATTTTTTTGCGGCGTGAGTATGTGTGTTTGGTTGGTTGGCTTACCATGGCTGAGAACAATAAAAAAAAACAAATAACAATTCCAAGGAAAATGTTTACAAAAAAAACCGAAGAATTGACTTTTTGATCTTTTACTTGATGCCCCCAAAAGTAGCGAGTCGTTCTTTTTAAGCTTCACAAATGCAACTGATCTTCGAAGTCATACTCGAACCCTGCTGAAGTCTGCCATGGAGCTCAAACTGTTGAGTCAAACAAAAATGAAAAAAAACTGAAGCAAAACACAAAACGAAAAAGGTTAAAAGACAAGCCCATGTGGCGGACGGACACAAACGACAACTGTTTCTTGGCCCGCAATGATGACGCTGTTATTGTGGGCCCAAACCCCAAAGTAGACGTCAACAACAACAAAAATGCAAAAAAAAAACAACATCCAAAGAAACCAAAACAAAGAACCATAAAAACACGGTAACAACAACGTTAGTAGTAGCAGCAACAAAAGGTACTGATTTCTTTGGCTTTAATGTCCGTCAGTATGTCTGTCTGTCGTCATTTAAACTAATGTCAGCAGTTGGTCGGTCAACCCCAACAGAATATAAACTTTAAGCTGTTGCTCCTCCATCTGTTTTTGTTCATTACGCTTGGTTGGTTATAGTTGGTTGTTGGCTTGATAGTTTGCTATCAGCCATTTGGTTGCTTCCCCAGCCAATATTTGTCCAGCTCGAAGCTCTGTTTTTTTTTGCTTTGTTAACGGAAATCAGTGGCTAAGATCAAATCTTTCGGACCCATTTAAAAGGTAAGCACCCAAACAAGAAGTGAACTGAGCTAACGACGACGTTAGTTCATTGCACAGAGCAGATGTTAAAATCAAAAGAGGAAAAAATGAATTACTAGAAAAGGTAAATGGCGAACATGTTGAGTGTAAAAACACAACATAAAACGCCAAGAATCATAAATATTATTTATATAATGATGTGATAGAATTGAAATAAATTGTGGGTGAACGATAAGTGGCGAGTAATATATTTAATACACATTCTCACACACACATTGAGATAATAAGAAGATACATTGAAAACATATTGACCTACTATTTTACCAGGCCCCAAATATTTTGAGGAAGGGGTCCGATAACCTCTAAGTGGCAGTTGTGTATATTTATTTTTAAAAAAGTTACACAATTTTTTAATGGAAATGGTGCCGTTAAGCATAGTTTATTCCAAAACTTGTTTTATGTGCTCAGCGGGTAAAGTTCGATGCTAATATTTTCCTAAGCTTGTAGGTTCTTCTTTTAAAGGGCTAAAGGCAAAGTAAATTCTCCGCTTTTTGGTTTGGTTGTACTTTGGCATGTTCTTTTATCGAAATAAATAAACTTTAAAAGCGATGAACATACGACAGTTATTGCCTCCATTGTCACGCCTCAAAAAGCGTGACTCATGTAAATGAATTCGATAACAATAGAATAAACTTAGGCTTGTGTGTCAGACAAAGGCAATTTTATGAAAGAAAAACTCGCTTAAAAGGCAATTCTACGGAAATTGTCATAAAAGATCTGTGGGTATTCTTATACAATATTTGAGGATTTTATTAAAGAGGATTTTAGAATATCCATGAATCTTCTCATAAAGCACTTATGGATATTTTCACACAAGGGCTATGGATCCAGTTTTATAGAGGATCCTCGTTTTTATAGAACATCTTTAGTAGTTCTATGATTTTTCCATTGGGGGTAATTGTATCTTCTCATAAACAGCACGTGCATCTTTCAAATTCATAAATCATTTCATAGACGATAGAAGAAGGAGTTTCTTATAGAAGATCTATGAACCTTTTTTTTTAAATAGATCTCTTCTCTTTCCAAAAGTCTGTGGATCTTTTCATAAAAAAATCTATCATTGAAGATCTAAGGGTCTTCTCTCAAAAAATCAATAGTTTTATCTCATAGAACATCAATTGGTTCCCTCATATCTGTGAGTTATCTCATAGAAGATATACAGCATCCAACTTCAGACTGCTCGTCCGACAGCTGTTAACATTATTCCACTGACAGCTTTGTTTGCAAGCGCACAAAAGCATTTGCTGAGAATTTTCCAGAAAAAAAGTTTTTTGTGACGGAATTCAAACGTGATAGTGTGACTTCTTTATATTTGGCTGGGAAACCACAGGTAAATATCGTTAGAGCACTCCAGCATTTAAATGTAAATAAATCTTTTGTGTCTCGTACCAACGCTCGTTACCATGATATTGGTAGCGTAGCCCGACGTCAAGGAAGTGGACGGAAGAAAACAGCAACATCAGCAGAAATGGTTGCAATTCCAAACAGCACACGAACTTACATCGCAACAGGAAGAAAATAGACTCAAATGAGCTAAAGAGTTGCTACGCTTGGCCGAAAGTGGTGCACTGCCGAATTTGGTCGTCTCCAATAAGAAAACATTCGTTGTCCAGCAGTTTGTAAACAAACAAAATGATCGTGTTTACTTGCCAAGAAGTCAGTTGAAATGTGCACCTTCGGTTGGCCACCAGAACTCAAGCGCCGGCCATGGTGATGGTGTGGGCCGCCATAACAGCCGATGGTCGCTTTCCGCTCATATTAATCGACCGTGGCTTCAGAATAAATGCCGAATATTATCGCGAAAATATTTTGGAGGGTGTATTAAAGGCTTGGGCACGCAAACAATTTGGCCGCAGACCTTGGACATTCCAACAGGACTCGGCACCATCGCACTTAGCACCCGCCACCCAAGAATGGTTACAAAATGAGGTCCTTCGCTTCATTTCAAGCGCACAATGGCCACCAAAATCTCCGGATACCAATCCGTTGGACTATTGTGTCTGGAGTATTTTGGCACTAAAAAATACCAACGTGTCGATCACCTCAAGCAAGCGCTTCGCCGGGAATGGGTCAAAATAGTACACATTTCCCAAACAAACAGAGACCTCAATATCAAATTGTAGAATTCAAGCCCTATCCCTTCACCCAGTACCAAATTTAGTACCTTGTAGTACTTTTCGTACAATTATAGTTTGCATTTCCCAGGCCAACTTCATATCTACCAGCAGAGACCTTAATATAAAATTTGTGTATCCCATCTCTATCCCTTCACTCAATACAAGGTGTAGTACTATTCGGTACTTTTCGTACAGTTATAATACACATTTCCGAAACCACCTCCATATGTTCAAACTACACATGCGAACCTAATACCAAATTTCGGATTTTAAGCACTGCCTGTTTACCTGATATCAAATTTTACTAAATATAGTACTATTTAGTACTTTTCGTGCATTTTTGGTACACATTTCCAAAACAACATCTCTATCACACAACAGGGATCTAAATACAAACTTTCAGCTTCATCCGTTCAACCTGAATCAAAATGTTCCAAATTTAGTATCAATATAGTTCGCACACTTAGTACCTTTATATATCTGTGGTCACAAGCAATAACCGCCTAAGTCGACTTAAGAAAGATCTGAGATATGTATGCTATCTTATTGAACTAACAAAACTAAACATGTGCGTGAAATCCCCATTTCTCTAGCAAAATTATTTAAAAAGATATAAGTAAAAACATATTGACATAAGTCGTAAAGAAACCCCATTACATATACAATAACCGCCTAAATATACTTCCGACCATGTTTCTATAATATATTAATTTTAATAAATAGCCTATAATGGGTTAAGCTGTTTTTGCATATTTTTTGTAAATCGTATTGCAATAAACAAGAGAGTTTGCATAAGAGCTTATGTAGAGATAAATGGATATTGCAAATTGAGAATGATTAAGAACACCTTCTATCTCTACATAAAATATTATTGCATATAGCTTTGTATGCTAGAAAGAGAGCAATATCTACATAAGCGAAAATTGCACATGGCGTATGCTCTCAGATTTTGTACAAATTGCAGTTAGGCTTTTATAATAAAAGCATTGTGTCAAATTGATTTCAGTTAAGCCATTTGGTCTAAACGTACAGAAGAGAATAAGAGTGTTTATAAAAAAAATATTAAAATATAATTCGGCGAAAAATAAACAAATATAATATGGAGAACAGTGAAAAGAAGCAGAAAATAGATTATGTAACAGGTAAGAGAATGGTGAACAAAATAAAAAAAAACTGTATTACTTAGTTGTTTGAATTTTTTACATAAAAAGATCGTGATGAAGGCAGTCGCATGAGTTTTTTGGAAAAAAAATTCTTTGCAAGACAACGATGAAAGTCGCATGTCTTTTTCAGAAAGCAGTAATGCTGAATTGCCAATCAATTTTTTTTCTACCCAACTACATACTAAAGCTGAAGAAGATAAGTCAACTAATCATGATGAATGTTTTGCAGGCATGAACATAAAATTCAAGAAACCTCAACTTGACACTTGTTCTTACTGCGATCAACTTAAAGCTAATATTAGTATTTGCAAACAGGAAGCAGATGCTATTCTGTTAGGCGATTTAGAAAATGATCTCACAACTCATCAAAGTTAAGCAGATTTAGCGTACGAATCGAAAAGGAATCACAAAGTTTTAGCCGCCAATGACTCAACAATCAAAATCTTTACTTTTGATTTACAGCAGTGTTTGACTACAACATTCTTAAGAAACTCAATAAGTTTTTAAAAAGGCAACTTTGGAGGTATAATTTAACCATTCATGACTGCATAACTGGTACCCCACATTGCTTTATGTGGCATGAAGCGTTATCTGCTCGTGGTGGCAACCAAATTGCATCGTGCTTGTTCAAGTTTTTAATCAATCTTGAATAAGTTAATCACACTATTTTTTATAGCGATTCCTGTGTGGGACAAAATAAGAACTCATTCGTATGCGCAATGTTCATATTGGCTCTTCAAATCAATCAAAATTTAGAAACAATAGATCATAAATTTTTAGAAACTGTAATAGAAAGGAAAAAGAAAAGGACAGACACTCAAACACAACATCCTCACGACTGGTACAATTTTGTTAGATGTGTAGGTACTAAACATAAATTTAAAGTCGTTGAAATGAATTCAGAAGATTTTTATAATTTTTCGCTATTATTAAAAACAAAGTTAATGTGGAGAAACACTAATCAAAATGGTGAGAGATTTGTTTGGAAAAATATTAGATGGCTAAGATATAGAAAAACTAATTTTGGAAGAATTGAATATAAAACCACATTAGATATAAATGCTCCCTTCCAAATTTTAAATTTGGTAAAACGCGGAATTAATTCAATGAAGAGAGACGACTTATATTTACTAAACGAGTGTGTCAAAATCAGCGAAAAAAAGAAAAAAGATCTGCTTGCTTTACTTCCATTTATAAACACATGTTTTCATCCTTTTTATAAAATTTTACAAACACAGGACTGTATTTATGTACATCCAGACTTAGTCGAAGATGAGCCAGACATAGATTTTATATATTCTTTTTTTATATATTCTTTTAACCTTCCAACGGTTTTAGTGGTAAGTATGTACATCTGTAATTAGGTTAAGTTTTCTTAAAATAAAATTTATGGAAAAATAATGCACTTGTTATGTATGAGTAGTTCGTTTTATTTTTTTCAACATGAACTATAAATAATCAAAAGGCCTAAGTTCAGTACGAGGAAATTTTCAATATGCAGTACCCGCCTAATTCGATATATGTCAGGCAACAAACGCAATAGTACTTTACAATAAAGACATAAGTCGAGATACTCTTTGCAAATTCCCCTTTTCCATTTACAATAACCATATATGTTTTTGTTTTTTAAATATCTTCTAAGTACATGAGATTTCCACTACCGTTTTTATTCTTAGCATTGCCTGTTTAATAATCTTTGATTTAGCATAACATTTTTCCTCATTCTCTTTCCTAAGTTTTTCAGAAACTCCTTTGTATATAAAAAGTGATTTTTCTCCAAAGCATGATTTTCGACTTAGGCTGTTATTGCTTGTGACCACAGATATATCAAACTTACTTTTCAACCTCATTCCAAATTTCAAGTTTTTAGCTCTATTAGAATTCCAAATGGTACCATTTTAGACGTTTAGTATCATTTTGGAACTTTTTGTAAGCTTAAAGTGCGAATTTCCAGAATTTTATTCAATTTTAAGTACATTTTAGTAATTTGTACTAAAACCCAGCATTATCACACGCCTAAAAGAAAACTTTATACTTCCCTTCAACACACCGATGTTAAATACAATAGAGCTTTGCCCCTTTTGTGATATGTAATTAATTACCACAAAAATTTTCCCTTTTCGTTGCAGAAGAAAAAAAAACAGCTATAGAAGCCAGAAAGAGCGAAAACAATAACAGGTAACTAAAGAAAACAAGTTCTTAAAGTGTCTGCAACCAATGAATCGGGGATATTGTTTACAAGGTGGTGCTCTGCTGCCTGTCTACAAGCATGATGGATTACCATATGGTGGTAAAGGCGACTGAAAAGAGGGAGAGGTGCAATTTTCATCATTCATCACAAAGTTAAAGTTAAAACATAAACAAAACAAAACAAAACCCTAAACCCTCGGCGCGGCGTCATTTATTCATTTTGGTTTGTGGTTGGTGAAATTTTGTTTGGTTTTTTTTTTCGGCTTCCACGAAATGAAACGTGATTGTTGTCGTCGTCGTCGTCGTAATCATTCCAAAATCAAATATTAATAAAACAAAGTAAGTTGAGGGAAAACTGAAAGTTTTTTTTTGGTTACCGGTCATTTGAGGATGAAACTACCATGGTTGACGAAAAAAAGGTAAAATCTTGACATATGTCGCTCACCTAAACATGTTTTTCGTTTTCAGTGTGTTGTTTTTTATTGAAATTTACCTTTTTTTGTTTTTACTTGATGGCCCCAACTGGTTGACCAAAACATTTCATTTTGTATTTCAATCCTGAACACCAAATGCTTTGCCTGTCTGTCCACAAAGAAGGAAATAAATGTAATTATGCGGTAATTTAAATCTCAACTCTATAATTTAGTGATTTCGGAAAAAAGGTTTCCCTTTTTCTTTGGTACCCACCTTAGTAATGGTCTTTATTGTTTCCTTCCTCTACAGGACGGAGGGAGGTAATCACGTTTCTGTATAGTTTTGACTTTCAAACGTGTTTTTAATTTGAAAAAAAAAAAACAATTTGTGTTGGAAGGGCTTTTAAGATTTAAGTTACCATATAGTGACAGCTTAGCCTGTACATAAGTCAACCAGGCATGAAGTAATGAATTATTCTTTTGGTTTTTTTGCTTGTACAAAAGTACGTGGTGTTGAAGTTGGGTTATAGTACCACTAGAGGTATAGGGGCACCATTAAATGGTTCTTTATTTTATGGCTTGAACACGAATATGGTGTTTTTTACTGTGTTTCATAAAAAAACCAAATGGGGTACAGTCTAAAATGGGAACACCTGCATGTGGGTGAGACGACCAAGGATGGGGAAATAAAGGTGAGGATGTATAAATGAATTTATTTTTAATATTTTCAAGCTACTAACATTTAAATAATAATACTAACAATAATAATAAATTATTATTATTGTTGATGTTGTTGTTTTTATTACTGAGCAAAAATCAACCTACTAAAACACGTTATTTAAAAAGGGAGGTAGAAACAATTATAGGATCAGCTATTTATCATTTGATTTTTAAACCAGTGCTTATTTCGTGAATGTTAACATTTAGCTCATGCCTGATTTGAAAGATAACTAGATTTATCCTTCCGCTAAGCGAATACAGGGTGAGGTAAAAAACAAAGTCAACCGCCATAATTTTTACATTTTTTTTTAAATTTTATTGAATGAAAGCAAAAAATATCGGAAATAGCATCAAATTTTAGAATAAGCTTAGATTTGCTCGAATTGGTCACCTTTGGCACGAATTATGGCCTTCAAACGGCCAATGACACAGTCACACGCTGCCTGAATGTTGCTTTGCGGTATTTTGGTCCATTGCCGGCGAAGCGCTTGCTTCAGGTGATCTACACTTTGGTATTTTTTAGTGCCAACCTTGCTTTCCAAAATACTCCAGACAATAGTCCAACGGATTGGTATCCGGACAATAGTCCAACGGATTGGTATCCGGAGATTTTGGTGGCCATTGTGTGCTGGAAATGAAGCGAGGAACCTCATTTTGTAACCATTATTGGGTGACGCGTGCTGAGTGCGATGGTGCTGAATCCTGTTGTAATGTCAAAGGTCTGCGGACAAAATGTTTGTGTGCGCAAGGCTTTAATACACCCTCCAGAATATTTTCGCGATAATATTCGGCATTTATTCTGATGCCATGGTTGATTAGTACGAGCGTACAGCGACCATCGGCTGTTATGGCGGCCCACACCATCACCATGGCCGGCGCTTGAGTTCTGGTGGCCAAGGTGCACATTTTCAGCTGATCTCTTTGGCAAGTAAACGTACTGCTGGACAACTAATGTTTTCTCTTCGGAGAAAACCCAATTCGGCCGTTAACCACTTTCGGCCAAGCGAAGCAACTCTTTAGCTCCTTTGAGTCTATTTTCTTTCTGTTGCGGTGTAAGTTCCTGCACTTTTTGGAATTTCAATGGCTTTACCCCGAGCTCATTTTTCAATATTTGCCGAATGGAATGTTGCGATATGTTAAGCTCACGAGCCATTTTTCGGCCACTGCGACACTGGTTTCGATCAAGTCGATTCATTACTTTTGGAACAATTTCTGCTGATGTGGCTGTTTTATTTCATCTACTTTCTTGACGTCAGGCTACGCTACCAGTATCACGGTAACGAGCGATGGTAAGAGACACAAAAGATTTACATACATTTAAATGACATACATTACATACATACATTAAAATTCTCACCAAAATGCTTTTGTAGCTTGTAAACAATATAATGAGCTGTCACTGGCATAATTTTAGCAGCTGTCGGACGAGTGGCTTAGGAATGACAGCAGTCTAAAGTTGGTTTCAGTTTTTTCATGTCACCCTGTATAGCATTTTCATTGGAAAAAAATTGTTTTGAAAGCTGTTGGTATCGAACTCACAACATTCGGTTTTGTATGTAGTTGGATAAGCAGAATTAATTACTTTGCTTTGCAAACTTTATAAGAATAACTCATTATCTTTTGGCCTGCGGGCAATGAAATTATTCGCTCGTGGAAATTATTTCGCTCTTGAAAAATTTGAAAACATAGCATTCCCGACCTAGCCTGTTTTTAAATTCATGTTTTCGAATGCCCCCAAAACGCACCTCTAAAATCTCGACAAAGTATAATTTTTTTTATTATTCCTTAAGATGTTTTTTTTTCTTTTTGTTTTCTTCATAAAAATATAGTGTATGTTTTAACAATTGAATTTCACATTGATTGTAATTGAGTGCTGTATGGGTATGAATACCAATTGAGTTCATGGTTATGTAGATGTAGATATATTGCTGGCATCATCACAACGGGCATTTGATATTGACAAACACATACATGGACTGTCGGTCGGACAATACACTCGCAAATAAAAACTATTTGAATTTGTTAGTTTTTTTCTTTTTATTAATACTTTTTTTGCTTATGGTATACCAACACGTTTTCGTCCACGAAAGATGGCATCGGTTGGGGGTCAAACCCCACAGGCTGCGTGATGAAATTGATCTTAAAAAATTTGGCTAAGCAAAATATAATATTGATGATAGATACCAGAAACGAAAACACGTATTACTTTATGACTATTATGACCTTTACCAATTGGAAATTGGAAAATAAATGGAGAAAAAAATATAAGAAAATAGGTAAAGGAAATTAACAAAGGTTGGTGGTAAAGGAAATTCGGACACACTCAAACTTGAAATATTTTTTATTGTTTATTTATTATTTTTTTATTGTTTATTCTTTTAAGAGACATAGTACCGAAGTCTTAAAAAAAATAGGTTTCGATACCGTGAACTACTGTTAACTCTCATAATTACACAAAATTGTAGGCCCAATATTTAAATATTTTTTTTCAACAAATCTGACGAATTTTGCAAAAATGATTATTACACTTTATTTGTCAAAGAAAACGATGACAAAAAAATCTATGTTGTCTAATATTATTTATTTTATTTTTCTTTTGTCTTTTAATGATGACGACGATGGCGAGTGTTGGATTGTCGCTGTAACGTGCGATAATTGCAGTAGCAACAGCTGTCTTCTAATTTAAATAATTAAATTTTGATAACAATAACTATTTAAATAGGAAAATATGTTGATTTCATTTAAAGCCAGAGCAAATTGAAACCACAAAAATTTAATAACGAAGAAAAATATGAAAAGTCTTTAGAAAAAAAACATTAGTTTGAAACGAATAAAGTCTGATTGAAAATAACTGTCAGTTTCGGCTAATCAAGAGGTATGGATTCATAATGGTGTCTATATATAGTTCAAAAGTTGTCTCAGAATCCTAAATCCTCAGAATTACTTTCAAGATTAAAAGTCCCACTCACACTCATTTGATTTTCCTCCATATATGTGTAAGTTTTCATACTAATTTATCAGCCCATCATATTATATTAATTAATAAATACAAACTATATTCTGCATTTATAATGGGTTGTTTCCTAAAAAATACAAGGCAACGTAACTTACTTTGTCATTACCAAGTAATGACTCACGACGGCTCGGCGTAAAGCCATTGAAATTCCAAAAATTGCAAGAACTTACAGCTCAACAGAAAGAAAATAGACTCAAAAGAGCTAAAGAGTTGCTTCACTTGGAGAACTGTCGAATTTGGTTTTCTCCGATGAGAAAACATTCGTTGTCCAGCAGTTTGTAAACAAAAAAAATTATCGTGTTTACTTGCCAAAGAGGTCAGCTGAAAGTGTGCACCTTCGTTTGGTCACAAGAACTCAAGCGCCGGCCATGGTGATGGTGTGGGCCGCCATAATAGCCGATGGTCGCTCTTCTCTTGTATTAATCGACCGTGGCATCGAAATAAATGCCGAATATTATCGCGAAAATATTCTGGAGGGTGTATTAAAGCCTTGGGCACGCAAACATTTTGGCCGCAGACCTTGGGCATTCGAACAGGACTCAGCATGCGCCACCCAAGAATTGTTACAAACTGAGGTTCCTCGCTTCATTTCCACCTCACAAAGGCCACCAAAATCTCCGGATATTAATTCGTTGGACTATTGTGTCTGGAGTATTTTGTAAACCAAGGTTGGCACTAAAAAATATCAAAATGTCGATCACCTCAAGCAAGCGCTTCCCCGGGAATGCGCCAAAATACAGCAGAGCAACTTTCGGGCAGCGTGTGACGGTTTCATTGGCCGTTTGAAGGCCATAATTCGTGACAAAGGTGACCAATTCGAACAAATCTAAATTTATTCGAAAATTTGATGCTATTTCCGACATTTTTTGCTCTCATTGAATAAAAAATTAAAAAAATGTTAAAATTTATGGCTGTTGACTTTGTTGCAGTTTTTTTTATCTCACCCTGCAGTTGTTTCACTTAGTACACATTTCCAAGAACACCTACTTATATCAAAACTACCTTCCAAACTTAACTTTTATACCAAATGTCAAGATTTTAGCTGTATCCTGTCACAAAATGTCAAAAAGGTACGAAATGTAGTGCTTTTTAGTAATTTTAGAACGCTTCTCATTCGAATTTCCAAACCCCCGCCTTATCTCAGTCCTACCCACCAACTTTGACCCACAACGTTTGGGCCTTGATGAATCTGTCAGTCATTCATTG